GGTCCTGCGGCGCGGGGCCAGCCCCTTCCTCCACCGGCCGTGCAGGCGCGCCCTCTCCTCCGGCTCCCGGGCACGGTCTTCCAGGGCGGCGGGAAACCCGGGTCTTTCCGACCTGTGGAGCCTTACCTTGCACGCGTTTCGTGAGAACCAAGCTCAGGGAACCCGAGGACTCCACGGTTCAACCCCGAGCTGCCCACATTCACCTTCATTGGTATCTTTCCAACCTGGCCGCCACCCGGCGCCTGCCTGCCTGCCAGGTTTCCGTGCCGGTCCCGGCTCGGCCTGAACGGGGAGAGTCGTGGTCTCCTGCTCCACAGAGCAGCTCCCCGCACCAGTCAGCTGTTGTTCAGGGGCTCTTGAACATGGCTTAGCGCTCTTCCGAGCAGTGCTAAACCCACCTGAGTCAGGCTCCCATTGGATGAAAACAAAATCACGAGTGAGTTTCGACACAGGCCTAAAGCCAGCAAATCCTCCCCAGCCCACAGTGAGGAGGGGGATTGAGGGTCGCCAAGAGAATCTACCCATCCCTGTCTTTAATATGCTTGATAATCCATTTGCCTGTCCTTGGTCTGTGGCGGGATGGGCACTGCTCGTAGGACAACTTTGATTTGTGTTTTTAATCCTATGTCAGCCGTTCAGAGTTGCAGTTTGAGAGTCAGACGGCCATATAAATTGCACGCGCGCGTGAATATTACACCGGTATAGTTTTCTGCCGATTTGAGGACTGAAAGACGGCACTTTAACCCAGGTCACAGAGAAGAGCCTAGAACCTCCCTTTCTCCTATTAGAACCCAACAAAACGAAACGGGGAATTCAGGAGTAGAAGTATTCCATACGGTGCATATTTTAATTGACATTTGCTGCCAGAGGATGTGACACCTGATAATTAGCTTTAGAGGACTGGGTGCCTTCAGAGACACGGAGGAGAAGCCAGTCGGGCTATCAGCAGCCTCTTCGTTGTTGCTAGAGAGCCAGGCGGGGGACAGCCGGCGCTTCCCAGCAACGACTGCTCTACCGCAAATAAGATGCTGGAGTATTTAGGCCTTTCATCAGATCTAGCAGATTTTTTTTCCTTTTATATAACTAAAAATGTTCAAATGACCACCTAGAATTGAGAAAAAAGAGTTTTGAGAAAGAAGTTGAGAAATAAGAAATTACTAAATAAGAACAGATTATACATTTGTCAATCGGTTCTTTTTTTCTTCAGAACCTTGTTTGCACCCAAGAGCTTGGATATACTCAACGGGTTTGTATGCCTCAGATTAGCACTTTCCTGAAGTGTGGGGCAAATAGCACTGGAATATTCTTACACCTTCCACTCATAGCTTGTTAGGTGGCGTGAGGGCGATCAAGAAGCATCCGTTCACACTTGCGGAAACATCCAGAACTAGTTGATCCTTAAGGGAGTTGTTCTGCTCACAGATTATGAGTCCCACATAAAGCTACCTGAAAGAGCAACATCTAAGTCCAGCTGCTAGTAGGTGTCCCAACAAGAAGGGATCCAGGTGGACGTTGCCCTTGCAGAATTTCCATTCAGTTCAATGGGGCTGCACTAGAATCCCCAAAGGACTGCAGAGAGACGGGCAGGCAATTTCATAAAATACTTCTGTTTATTGACTTTGCAAATGGATTGTCTGATTAAAACCAAGTCCAAAAAATGTCATCATCCCACATGGAAAAACAAGATGTCCACCTCCTTTGGCAGGGAGAATGAATCCTTGCATATGGAATTTGTATTTTTTAGTATTTTAAATAAGGCATATTAAGAGCTTTACACACGGAAAATTACTGAGAAATGTTGCACTATGTTGAAATATGCAGAATGAAGTGATTTCTTCAGAGAGCCCATTTGTCCCTTGCAAGACCTAGGAAGAGAAAGAACACTTTAGATGCTGGAGCAACTGCATGGGAACCTCCCAATTACTCACTAGTGACATAAGAGGAAGCTGCATCCCAGCTTCTGTGAGTTCCACAGAACTGGCAAGTTGTAGGATGATCCTATCCAATTCTATGGATTTATCCAGGGTACTGAATTCATACAGAGAAACATTCTGAAGTGACTTTGAATAATTACTTAAATCATTAGAGATTCATTCTGATGTTTTCTTAAACGACAGAGGGCTGGCTGGGGAGCAATGTATTTGGGGGACAGCTCCCACTAATTTTCCCGAACATAAGGCACAGTTTCCTTCTCTAAGTATCTAGGAACCAAACCATATTTGCTACCTTGATGCCACTGCTTTTTTACACACAAGAGGCCTCCTTAGGAGGCCACTGAGTGATCAAGACAGCAACAGTGCTGGTCAGCAAAGTCATGGACCAGGACTCAGAGACTCACCAGCATCCTTGGCTTACGAGGTAGCAGCAACGATGCCCACCTTTTGGGCAGCTTCCTTCTTTGCCTGGTGAGCCTGTAGCACTGCCACAGCCTCCTCCACCTGGGATGAAGAGACACACTGACGAGAGGGATGTAGACCCAAAGGGTGATCCTTTGTATGAGTAGCCAGCATGCAAACATGGGTGAATAATTCAATAAAGTGGAAAAGGTGCTTCAGATCTGGTGTGGGTGTGCTACTGTTCCTGTCAGTGGCTCCTTGAAGAAGCTGCCCTTCAGACCTGAGGAACTGCATGGCCTTCCCTGACAGTCATGCTCCAGCAAGCCAGCAGAAACAGAGAACATCCAGTGCTTGTGGCCCAGTATTGGGGACTGGTGGCGCTTACCTTCGAGCGGAGGGATTCCGGAGACTCCAGCATGTGTAGCAGCTCTGAGTTGTCGATCTCCAGCAGCATCCCCGTGATCTTTCCTGCCAGGCTGAGGTGCATTGCCTGGATTAGTGGAAAGAGACGTTCTCCTGAAGAAGCAAAAATCAAAACAGTTGAGAGAGAGACTCTCTTGTAAAGGCAGCTACCGGCCTCCATAACTATTTTGCACATACAGCTAAGACAGAAGAGCCACGCAGAAGCTGAAAAGCTGCTTGCACCCTTAAACGGATAAGTGCACAAGGTATTTTAAATCCACTAGCGAGAGGTAAGAGCGGGGACTGACTCACCCAGCATTTGTTTCTGCTCCTGGGGAGGCGCAGCAGCCAGCATGGATGCCGTTAAGGGCTCTTGTCCCTGCACGTGAACAGCAGGCTGTGGGGCCTATGAGGAAATCAGGGATTTTGCCATTAGCACAGCCCATGAAGAGGTCATGGGAAGCAATTCTACCAAATTTAGAAAATACATGGGAAATAAAATGCTCGAGATGAGGACATACTTGCCTCACACAAGTAAAAAAAGGCCTCTCCTTTAGCTGAGGAAATAGCTCATTGAAGTGAAAGAGCAACGTCAAGTGTTAAAACATGGTAAATGATTTGAGGCTAAATCAGAGGTATTTTATCTGAAAGGGCAACACCTCCTATCAATCAGTTTATTTGAAAACCCCCAGGAATGACTTAGAGTGAAAATTGCCACTCTCCTGGCCACGTTATGCCAGAGACGGTACAATGCCAAGAAGCATGAAAGACCTCTTTGGGTTACTAGGCCAAAGCTGAGTGGTTTACTTTTGCCAAAACGTGTCTGTGTGCACAGCAACACAAGAGTCGTAATTCTTTGCAAGAAACAGAACTGCGGCTTTGTAGGTCAGAACGTGAATTGCTGCTCAAACGTAGGAAGTATACGTAGTTGGAGTTTAGAAAACCACTGCATTCTTGCAGCAGAGGGAAAAAGCCGCTGCTTTTGTATTAATGTGGAAGCTCTGAACTAGGTGGAAAAAAACACCATTCCTGTTTCTGTCTGAAACCCAAAGACTTGGCCATGGCTGTTGGGTCGAAATCAGGCCCCAGGCCCTTCCAAAATTCCCCCATGGGCTCGGCATTACCTGTAAAGGCTGGACTGCTGGGTGGGGGCTGTGGATGCCGGCAGCGTATTTGTACGGCGGAACTGCCCTGGGAGCCTGGGCGGCTACAGGTGGTCGAGGAGCCAGGCTTGGGGCTGTGGCGGCAACCCCTATTTACAAGGAGAAATTGTGGAAGATCAGACACTTACAGGAAAAGCTTAACATCATTAGCATGCATTCATCTGTTTGAGGAACCACACGCACATGTTTTACTTCATGTAAGCATGTGTTAAACAGATACCAGCAACGGTCCAGGCAGTTTATTTGAATCCTGAGCTATTATTCCCTTTTCTTCTATGTTCGTTGAACCAAAGAAATTCTGCTACAAAATGGCAACCTTCTTCAATAACTTAATATCCTCCTCAAATATATTGGGGCTACCACCCCCAATTCCCAACCAGCGTATTAGTCAAGTTGGCTGGAAACTCTGGAAGTTGCAGTTTCAGCACATCCAGAGATCTGGCTTGGACAATTTTATTTTTTATTTATTTGACATAGCAAAAGCCGCATTTACTGCCAGAAGAATCTGTCCAACAGCTACCCTTCTACTACATCAGACCCACCAGTGAAAGTCAGCGTTAACCGATGCTTCTGTGGGTGGGACTGCAAACCTACCTAACCCCACGGGAACTTCTCTGAGCACAGTCCCTTACCGATCCTCTGGGGAGCACCAGGCAAGCCACGTGAAGCTTGAGCATTACTTGTGGGAGCCAAATGTCGTAGTGTTGGCCGCGGCCCAGATTGGCGCATACTGTTGGGCATACCTTGGAAGCCTAGTGTGGTTTTCAAGAAATGGGGTGGGAGGAGAGAAGGGAACAGCAAGTTATTGGCCAGTTGCATTAGAAGAGTCCTATCAAGTTAAAACTGCAGGGAAGGTCATCCCTGGGACCAGGCATGTGTGATGGCTGTGAGACTCCCAGTCCCTACAGAATGTAGAAAACATCCTTAGCTGCTGTTTAGAATAACACTGCATTCGTACAGGGGGGGGGGGGGGAGTGCTTCTTGAGAGGGAGGGAACAGGGCTTCCAAGGGCAAACAGCTCTTTTATGCATACCTTGAGGCCTTCCCCCAGGCTGCCAGCGTGGATTGGGTCTCATCTGAGTCATCTGGTTAGGTGCATAGTAAGTGGGTCTGTTCTGAGCCTGGAAAGCAAAGGGTGCCATTTCCTGAAGGCTGCAACAGGATCAGTCCTGCAACACGTTCCCATTGCCCTCTTCCAATGCTACCGTCCCAGTCCCAGGAAAAGAGGAGAGAACTGCTAAATTGTACATTACCTCCAACTCTGACATCTTACCTAATATTACCAGTTTCGGTTTTTAACCCTGCTAAACCACCAAGACTGCTATTTCAAATATTGTTAAAAACATGTTCACAACACACCTGAGCCCTTGCATGCTAGACGGGAAACAACAACACATCCTGGAAGAAGGCAAAGCACTTTTCCAGAGCACAAGTGTCCACGAAGCCCCCAGGAACTGAACCCAACTTGAAGGAGAATTTAGGGTATTAATTTTGACTTTCAAATAGGCTTTTCAAATCATTCTGGTTTTTATATAATTTTTTATTAAAAGTTTTAAAAAGAAGTTAAAAACTAATACAAAGTAAAGAAAGGGAAGAGAGGAAAAAAGAAACAGAAAAAAGGTGCAAAAAGAAAAGATAAAAAGAAATAGAAGTAGCTTCCGATTTTCTTTGCAGCAAATACAAATATAGTTACAAAATTACCTCTTACTCTACGTAAAAATCTACAAGGGGCTTCCAGTCAGCAATAAATGTAGATGTTGTCTTTTCTCTAATCAGGGAGGTCAATTTGGCCATCTCTGCAAGTTCCATTATCTTCATCAACCATTCCTCCGTTGCGGGTCATGCCGCACCTCTTTAATAACCCTTTCTCTAACATCTTCGTCAGAAATCTCTGGAATAGCTCTAAGTTTCAAACAAAGCTCTTTCTCTCTCAGTTCCAATAAAGCCATATTATCTAATTCTCTTTTCAACTCTATCTAAAACATCTGTCTTACTCTCAAAGATTTCCGCTTTATTACTGATTTATTTTACTTCTCCAGCTACTTGCTTTATAGAACTTTCCAACTTTTTGGCTTCTTTCATTTCCTCTTTCATCTTTACAAGTCTTTCATCCATTCTTTTTTCAAAACCTTCCATTTTATTTCCCATTAGCTCAAATAATTTCTGAAGCAAGCCTGGTGCGACTGTTTTTTCAGTGGGGTGCTCTAATGATCCTCTCCTGCCCTCTCTTGCCTGCCGTTTTTCTAGTAGATGCATATTATGATCCAAAAGTAAAAGTGTCTCAAAAAATCAAGAGGAAGATGCAAGCTGTCCCCTTTTTTCACTTTCCCTTGCTTTATCTTTCTGTGGTTTTAAAACTTTTTGTCTCTAAAAGCTCTTTGTAGCTTCTAGCCGCACAGAAACAACATCACCATAGCAACAAAACGTCAGTCTAGTTCATTGCCGTATCTTTTGTTCTGGAAAGTCTGCCGATTGAATACATTCCTTAACAGTAAACAAAAAGTATTCCCGCAAAGGTCTGGTCACTTTAAGTAACTTGGTGCAAGTTTATGCCAAAGCATTTTCATCAAAAGTAAAAATAAAATTAAAAAATAGGAAAATGACTGTCCCCTGTCCATTTTAAAACTTTCTTAAGTCTTCACTTTGTTAAGCTTTTTGCAAACAATTCTTAAATCTTTAAATCCTTAAAGTCCTTTTTCATTCTTTGTAATCCTGAAAGAAGATTTGGCTCATTGCAAGGAATCATATCATCCTTTTTCCCAAAGGAAATCTCTCTTTAACTGTAAATTAATTGTTTCCCAAAGTGATTAAGAAATGAGGGTGGCATGGCTTATTCCTTATTAGGCTGCACTGCAGTTGTGAGGATGGATGGAATCCTGGGACTCCCGGTTGCTCAACTCCCGAGCTGACTGCAAAAAACGTCTTTTTCTGCAGCTTACTCACAAGGAACTGCCGCCTGGAGTACATCTGGGTTATCTCACAATCTTTCTTTGATCCAGAAAGATTTTGTAGGCCAGCATCTGCCCTCCAGCTTGCGTTCTCGGCTGTGGTGCCTCCACTCCTCTGGAGACATCAGCCCATTATAATTCCCCGCCAGAAGCCTGCTTTTTAAATCATTCTGGAAGTGGTTTTGGCTCAGAATGGCTGTTTCAAGTTCAGAATACCATTTCAAGGACACCCCTACTCTTAAATTCACCAAATTTTATTTTCCATTAGCCAGGTATTTCACCAAGGCATTCCCTGATTTCCATTTCGTTTTTGTTGAGCTCAGAATTTCCCCCAGCCATTTTAACTTTCTTGTTTTACCATTTTCTCCTTCAGGACTTCCTGACAGCCAATAAGGAATGTAAGTAGTCAAAGTACCCACGCTACGCTGTTCAGGGGATACAATATCATTTAAAATCTATTTGTCTTCAACTGGAATTGTAATAATTCATTCCATTGCCAGTTTAAATTTTAAAATGGATTCAATAGATTCCAATAGCAGATCGATCTTGTAGAAAGAAAAGAAAGATATGAGGACCCCATGAATCTTAGTCCTCTGTAGGAAAAAGAAGCCACTTGCTTTTGTAGGGGCTGGGCTGGGTCCCTCTGAGACACGCAGGACAATTGTGCGGAGAACTTACCTGGGGCACTGCTGGCATGAAATACCCTCCGGAAGCTGGCTGGAACTGGCTGACAATGGTGTTCGCTGGCAGAGCTCTCATGCCAGCGATGCGCTGCAGGTACTGGTTGGTGAGGTGGGCCTTGCGCTCCTCCTTCCTCTGGGCCAAGGCCACATACAGCGGCTTGGAGCCCACAATGCGCCCATTCATTTCGGTTACAGCTTTGGTGGCTTCTTCCGGAGAGGAGAAGCAGACGAAGCCGAAGCCTTTGCTTCGACCATCTTCCAGCATTACCTAATGAAAGGCAGGGACTGAGAAAAGAGCTGGCAGTTCCTACGTCCTTGGTGCTGATGTTGCTTGCCTCACCCAGGGAAATACTGCAGGAAGAGAAACACCCCAATATGGACTTCCCAGAGTCGGCCTTTCTTGCACAACGTCAAAGAGCAGCGCTGGGCAATCCCAAAAGCGGCTTTTCCTCCAAGGAATTTTCTATTCCCCAGACCTGTTGCTCCTCCCTCTCCCTTGGCCGGACACGAGAATGGCATTAGCCCTGACCAGTTTCTAGCCTCTTAGACCACAGAAGGCAGAGTCAGCCCTGGAAGACAGCGGGGCCTCCCATTTCCCTAAGCGCCTGGTTCACTGCCAGAAGTCTACTCTGCAGAACACCAGTGTTGCAAAGAGGTAGAGGCAAGCCCACACAGGAGAAGGAGGTGGCTGCCTAGATGCTCTCTGCCTTGTTATAGCACCACATGTCCCCAGGCCCACACTGATTCCGCAAGGCATGGGAAAGATTCAGGTGCAGCGAGTATGAACTGTGTCGCTTCTCTGGCCTCCTCTCCCATGAAAAAGAATCATCCAGTTCCTCATTCTGTTCCCACCACAATCCATAAGACACTTAAGTTCACAGCAGGATGGGCATTCAAGAATACCTCCTCCTCTTGTGCTCCATTAGTCGCTACGGAAAGTCCTGAAGGTACAATACAGCTGTCATGATTCTGATTATCTTACCTTTCGTGAATTTGTTTTAAAGTCCTTAGACTGGCAACCATAACCACAATTTTGTGGCTGTGAATTCCACAGTTTAACTATGCATTCCACAACTGTCTTTCGTTTTGTCTGTCCTGAATTTCCCGCTGTTCAGATTCACTAGAAAAGCTCACTGGGTTCTATTACACGAGCAGAAACTCAAACCTCATCATGCTTCCCCACCCCTGCTACCCTCTTTTGAAGCAAAAAAAGATTGAATGTTATAACCTTATTTCATAGCCAAGTTGCTTCAGCCATTTGATTACAGTGGAACCTTGGTTTACGAACTTAATTTGTTCCGTGGCTCTGGTCGCACCCGAATTGGTCGCAACCCGAAGGAAATTTTCCCATAAGGTTCAATGTAATTACTGTTAATCTGT